CGCCCCCCCGCCCACGACAACTGTCCTCCCCCCCCCCCCCCCCCCCCCCCCTCCAGCTTTTGCCTGCAGTGTTGTAGACAAAAACCTTCAATTCCTGGAGTCTCCAGGTCAGTTGGAAAGGAAGCCGTAACAAACAGTGTTTTGTGTAAAGAGCACAGATCGCACGGGTACTGTCAAGTGGGGTTTAGTGTCTGGTGTGAGACAGTCCCATTGAAATATGAGAATGTGTCAGTCGGGACTTTGCAGCCAGCAGAATGTAGAAAGAAGTGTGTGATTGTGCACAATCAGTCCTTGCTGTCTTGTTAGAAATTAATCTTGGGTTACAAATGCCAAATACAAACTCTCACCGTTTCTAGAACCTAAGAAGGTGAATGTTCCTGTGAGGTATCCACTGTGTTGACATATGGAGTCAAACTGACATCATAGTTTTTAGTACTTTGATGTGATACTGAGAGATATCATTGACACCTCTGTCTCAACTTCTAGCTCTGGGCTGGTTTACTGGGTCCTTTCTCAATACTGTACAGAAGCAATTAATTAAATTTATAGCTCAGAAAGAAACCTGTTAGCCCATCACGTCTTTGATAGAGCTATCTAATTAATCCCACTTTCTTGCTCTTTCCCTGTAGCAATGTAAATTTTTCCCACCTTCAAGCATTTATTCAATTCCCTTTTTGAAGATTGCTAATGAATCTGCTGCCACCATCCTCTCAGGCATTTCTGATCTCAACAATTTGGTACAATAAAAATTCCCCATCCTCTTTCCTGCTGTTTGTTAAACAGTGATCTGAAATGGCTAAATGGCTCTTATTTTGGAGTGGATTTAAGAACTCATCTTAATCCCAGTAACTAATGAGCCTTTCATCATCTGCCTCTCACTAGTTGTCCAGTGACTCGTAGAGGGTTTTACAGATGAATTTCTCTTGCTTTATGTCTAAAAGTGATCCCAAGATGGAAAGTGTCTCGTTCTTGATCTGAGCCCGAGGCTTGTGATTATTGACCTAAGGCAGTGAGCAGTCTGTTCAATTTAAACTAGTTCATTCTCTGCAACATGGCAGTATCCAAACCTTCATTTTTGCCAGTTTATGCTTCTAAAAATAGATATCTAGTTATTGTTATATGATACTCCTGTTATGTGCCTTGGGGTGTTTTATTTATTTTAAGGGCACTTTACAAATTGTTGACTTCATCATCCATTCTGATGTATCAGAATGGAATGATGTGACAGAGGTCTATGGCAGTGTACACGAGCATTGACTCAGTGGAAAGAGGAAAATGGAACAGCAGATTAAGTGGAACATGTTTTATCATGTTTAGTGTCATTATTTTGTTTTGTGTATTGAAGTGTGACTTTGTCTCTCTGTATTTCAGAACTGTCTCCACACTGACCAGGTCACTCAATGCCAGCAACGAGCTATACGGCGATGGAGCTAAAAGTTTGGGTGGATGGAGTGCAGCGTGTAGTGTGTGGGGTCACTGAGGAGACAACCTGTCAAGAAGTGGTGATTGCACTGGCACAGGCTATAGGTGAGTGCCCAGATTAATGGAATGGAAAATGGGAATAGGAATGTGATGGTGAAATGGAATGGGGGTATGGAGTAATGGGAATGGGACAGGGGAATAGAATGGGATGAGTTTTGAATCAAACAAGAAGGTATTACACTGGGATAATGGGAGGAAGGCTAGGATTAGTTAAGACAGTGACTATCAGTGACACTGCAAAATACTGTCCTTTGGGCAATAACCAAGCCAGAGGAACTGAGTCCGATGTTAGAATAGTCAAGGCTGAAGCAGGTCAGGGGTGAGATGGAGTATAATGTGGTTACCAGGTCATACAGGGTGTAGTGAGGGATGCACAACAGCTTGAGAATTGAGAAAATTGGCCTCTTGACAATAATGATTTTAATATTTCCACCATTGACTGACTTGTTTGCAGCTGCCTGAGTGCTCCCTTGAATTCTCTCCCTACACCTCTCTCCTCCTTTAAGATGCTCTTTGAACCCTCTCTGTTTGAAAGTTTTTGTCACCTCTCCTAATAACTACTGATGTGGGAGTTTAACAATGCTGCACCGAAGCACCATGTTACATTTTACTGTGTTAAGGATGCAAAAGGCAACCTGTTGTTTCGTTTGGGTACTGCTTCATGTGGCTCCTGGAAATGTGCACCATTGTTTAAAATGGTAAGCATTCTTTCCATTGTAAATGGTGAGAAAATTCCTTATACCTGGGGTTACGGTTTGGGGACTGGTCAGTGTGGGACAGAGGTTAGTAACTTCCTCCTCTCACATACTTACTGAGTCTCAGGCATTGCCACTGTCCTCCACCTGCCTTCAACTCGTGGTTTTACTGATTGTTCAGGTTACACGTTGATTTCAATTTACTGTTGGAGACCAGAACAGCTGAAGACCTGGCCACCAATCCAGAGATCTCAGAGGATTGTAGGACTGGAGGAGGTTACAGAGATAGTAAGGCCACAGAGAAGCAAATGTTAATCTGTTGTTTAGGTAGAGATCAGCATGATTTTGCAGTTCTGACAGATGCACCAACAGTAGCTATTGGATGTGACAGACCAGTGTCAGTGACCCTGTTCTTGATGTAATGTGCCCTTGAGAAATGAAAATTGTGTCTGTTGAATGAACCTCATGGCTAGCCATCCCGTTTGTAATGTGTGATGTCCACTCGCCTAGTAACCTCACTGATTTGAAGCTGGCGGTTATTGGAGGTAGCATGATGCCCACTTCACTGGTACATGATCCTGTTCTGTGAATCTCACAGGTCAATGCAGCTTTTTGCTTGTGTCGGCAGAAAAGGTATTGGCTAGAAGAATGATAAGTTTGAGAGAGTCACAAATCACCATCAGGCAGGCATTTCTCTGCTCAGAGCTTCCTAAAGATTCCTATTGTGAGAGAGTTAGAAAAGATTGCTAATCTTTGTAAGATCTTTAACAATTCTGTAGATGTGAGCATTGCTGGCAAAGTCATCTTTCCTGTTCTGGTTACATTTGAAAGGTCCTGGTTTTAGTATAGATGACTTGCTAGGTCACTTCACGTTCAATTGTGTAGGTGTGGGACTGGAGTCACATATAGTCCCAGACCAGGTAAGGAGAGCAACTCGTTCCTTAAAAGATGTTAGGGTATTGGTTGGGTTTTTATGACAATCTGACAGCTTCATGGTTACTTTTTTTTTACTTGGAGCTGTTCTTCCAAGCTAATCTGAATGCAAATTCTCAAACCGCTCTGGTGGGATTTGAATTTGGATTTCTTGGATTACCATTCCAGCAATTTAGTCACTGCTGTATCAGTCTGTCCCTCTTCGGCACTGCTCCCTGCACTGCAGAGAACTTTTTATTGACCAGCTTCTCCAACATATACAAGAAAGCAAGGACTGCCAGCAAGTCCAAAACCAAAATTTTGGAGAGCAGGAGTCTGGCTGAAGTGTTGATCGGAGACGCATCCCTACTGCTCCGCAGCCATTTAAAGGCTCGGTGTGGTATCGATGGCTGAGGGCAGGACAGCTCTCTCCATCTGTACCTGCCTCCACTGCCCCCTGTAAAAGGGCGATACACTGAGGGCAGGTTGGTAGGCCATGGCCAGGCCCTCTGCTGGATTTAAGGAACACCCTACCCCAACTTCAAACCCACTGACAAGAGGCCTGTGAAATTTGTTTGTGAATGCTAAGAGTTAAAAGCAGAAAACACTGGAAATACTCAACATCAACAGAGTTAATGTTTCAGGTCAATGACCTTCCTTCCAAAATGTTGAAGGTGTAGCAGGTGCAAGCGAGTGAAGTTAGAGGGTGGGATGAAAGAAGAAAAGGGAATTCTGTAATATGGGTGGAGGGCAGCAGGATCAAATAACAAAGGATCAGTGGCCCTCGAGGCGATGCTGATGAGATTTACCAGAAAGGCAGGAGTGACTTCAGCCACTGGGCTACATTTGAGGAAGCTGGGATTGTTCCCCTTTAAAGCAAGGGGAGGTTTAACAGAGGTGTACGAGATTCTGACCAGTCTGGTTAAAATAGACAAGGACCAATTTCCTGTTCGCTGATGGTACAAGGATGGGATGCACATATTTAAGCTTTTGGCTGAGAGATGTGAGGGCTGGGGAGGGGTGAACATATTTTTAATGCAGCAAGTGCTAATGACTCGGATTCACTGCCCAGGACGGGATGGAATGGGATGGGATGGTGAGGTGACCTGTGATTTCAAAAGGATAATGGATTAGCACTTGAAGAAAATAAATTTGCAGGGCTATGGGGATAGAGCAGATCGACCAGATTATTCAACAGAGAGCAGACTTAATGGGGTAAATAACAAGCGACTCTTTGACCAATTCTATGAGTTAAATCCTCGATTAACCCTCTCTGCCTGAAAGGGAACACCTCAACTTCTGCAGTCCTTCTGCGTCTTTACTTCCCAGAGATTTTGGGCTCGTTCCTGCAGAAACGTTTCCTGTTTTCCCCCGCAACCTCACAGGGAATTGCATTCTGACATTTGCTGTTTGCTCCCGCTGCAGGTCAGACTGGCCGCTATGTGTTGATTCAGAAATTGCGTGACAGTGAGCGCCAGCTGCTGGCCAACGAGAGCCCTGTCCAACTGCTGGCCAAATGTGGGCAGTACGCCAACGACGTCTGCTTCCTGTTACGCCGCACCGGCTCCACTCAGTCGGACAGGCCCACCCCGGGCAATGGTGCTCAGACTCCGGAACCTTCTTTCAGCAGGACTGTCCCCGCCCCTGCTAAACCGACTAACCCTGAGCTCCCAAAGCGGCATGTGCCGAAGAAATCCCTGACGTTTACCGGGGGGGCGCTGGGCGCTCCCGATCTCGCGGTCCAGAACAAATGGCGGGGCAAGAAGCTGAGCGGGGCAGAGGCCCGGGACGACGCTTCCCAAGCTCCGAGCAAGGAAGATCTCTTCAAACTGATTCTGATTCAGCAGGAGCAGCTCAACTCCGTCTCTGCCCAGCACGAGTCCTTCGACAGCCAGATTAAATCCTGGGAACAGCCCGGCATTCCCGACTTCGAGAAGCAGCTGGTGCAGCTGGAGGAAGTGATCAGGAGGAACGAGAAGGAGATGGAGGAGGAGCAGTTCTGGGAGAGGGAGCTGCAGCTGGAGAAGGAGCGGGAGAGGGAGCTGCAGAGACACTTGAACAAACTGAAGCAGAGCCTCCGCGACAACATGCAGAGGCTGCACGAGATTAGCAGCCGGACTGAACTCTTGGACAGAGAGATCCTGCGGGAGGAGTCGGATCGGGCGAGGAGCCTGGCAGCGGCTCACAGAGCGGCTCACGCCAACACTAGGGAGGCCATCGACCGAGTAAGGGCCGAGATTGAAGCAAAAACACAGCAGAACCAGCAAATACAGACGTCTCTCGTTGAAGTAGGGAGAACCTTGGAGGAAGCGGACAGGAGATTGCAGGTGAGATCAGGTCCATGGAAAGGAATTGGAGAGAATCATACACTGCATAAGGAGGCCATTGGTCTATCGTAGTCTGTGTTAGCTTCTTGAAAGAACAAGCAGTTAGTCATATTAGCCCTGTCCTTGTCACATCACCCTGTAAGTGACTCCCTTTCAAATATCTATCCAATTTCCTTTCTTGAAAGTTATGATTAATTTGCTCACAATACATTTTCAGGCAATGAATTCCAAATCTCAGCAATTTACTGCATTTAAATAAAAAGGTTTCCTCATATCTCCTCTTGTTTGGTAATCACCTTAAATTCGTGTCCACTGGTTACTGAGCCTCCTGCCACTGAAACCATTGTTTACTCTATCAAAACCACTTCTGATTTTGATCAACTCTCTGTTGGATTTCATTCCTGACCTTCTGTAAGGAGAATAGTCTTAGCTTGCCCAGTCTCTCCACTTTCCCTGAAGTCCCGCATTCCTTGTGCCATTCTCTTGAATGTTGTCTGCACTGTCTCCAAGACCTTGACATTTGTCCTAACGCCTGGTGCCCAGAACTGGACGCAGTGCTCCAGCTGAGGCCTAACGGCAGTTAGGTTTTAAATCTGTTAATATCCCTCGGTTTGAACTTGGGGCAGGCAAATGGAGTTTAAGTTTTAGCTGAGTCGTCAATGGTGGGAACAGGAAGAAATCCTTCAGCCCCTTGAGCCTGCTCTATTCTTCAATTGGATCATGGCTGATCTGTATTTAACTCCATTTCTCTTGGCTCCATAGCTCTTTATGGCCATAAGTGACCCCTGACCTCGACAGCATTTTGAGGGAGTGTCCCACGTTTCCAATGCCTTCTGTGTAAAGGAGTGTATCCTGATATCCCTGCTGAATGGCCAGACTTCAGTTAAAAGTTTTGGGCTCCTTGTTTTGGATTCCCCCTCCCCCATCATCAGCAACAACACCGGAAACCGCTTCTCTCCATCTACTCTATAAATTCCTTTATTCGTGTTAAACAGTTTAATGAGACTGTCCCTAAATCTTTGAGATGGATTCGAAGCTATGCCCTGGGTTATGGCGACAAATAGGACAGTGAAGTTGAGATCACAAACGTCAAATGATAATCTTACCCAATCCTTATCAAAAGGATAATCACCGGAGAAAATGGCCTACTCCTAATCCTAAATCCATGTTCCAGTGTTACTACAACCGATGATCTAATTGAATGCAAACTCAGGTTTGAGGGTCTGAATTGCCTCCTCCTGTTATTCATTGTCACCTGGTACCTTGAAATCGGTATCAACCAATCCACTCCACCATCAGGACAGGAATGAGCAGGTTTCTCCTGCCCTCGGATCACAGCGATATTTTAGTCACTAATACTAAGCACCTTGCCAAGCTGAGTGACAGCAAGGGAAAGCCAGCACAGGTCTCCTCGCAGACTGCTAGTTCACTTGGTTTTGAGCACGACTTGATGGGTAACTGTTTGACTTTCAAGTCAGACAGTCATCAGTTCTGGACCGAGTCTATAATCCAATCTAACCTGTCCTGCCCAGTGCAGCGCAGGGGGAGTGTGACCCTGTTCGAGGGTCAGTGCTGAGGGAGCGCCGCGCGGTCGGAGGGTCGTCGCTGAATGAGTGCTGCGCCATTGGAGGGTCAGCGCCGTGCCGTCGCTGTGTGCTGCCAAACTCCATTAACTAATATGACCTCTTATTTTTGCATGGCTTTAATCCATGAGGAGGCATGGAATTCAGGGAAATTTGGCTGTCTGGATATAAAACTGGCTGTCCAATAGAAGACAGAGGGTGGTAGTAGATGGAAAGTATTCAGCCTGGAGCTCGGTGACCAATGGTGTTCCGCAGGGATCTGTTCTGGGACCTCTACTCTTTGTGATCTTTATAAATGACTTGGATGAGGAAGTGGAAGGGTGGGTTAGTAAGTTTGCCGATGACACGAAGGTTGGTGGAGTTGTGGACAGCGTGAATGGCTGTTGTAAGTTGCAACAGGGAATTGACAGGATGCAGAGCTGGGCAAAGAAGTGGCAGATGGAATTCAACCCAGGAAAGTGTGAAATGATTCATTTTGGAAGGTCGAATTTGAATGCAGAATGCAGGGTTAATGGCAGGATTCTTGGCAGTGTGGAGGTACAGAGGGATCTTGGGGTCCACGTCCATAGATTCCTCAAAGTTGCCACCCAAATTGATAGGGTTGTTAAGAAGGTGTTATGGTGTGTTGGCTTTCATTGGCAGGGGAATTGAGTTTAAGAGCTGCGAGGTTATGCTGCAGCTCTATAAAACCCTGGTTAGACCATACTTGGAATATTGTGTTCAGTTCTGATCGCCTCATTATAGGAAGGATGTGGAAGCTTTAAAGAGGGTGCAGAGGAGATTTACCAGGATGCTTCCTGGACTGGAGGGCAGGTCTTATGAGGAAAGGTTGAGGGAGCTGGGGTTTTTTTCATTGGAGCGAAGAAGGATGAGAGGTGACTTGATAGAGGTGTACAAGATGATGAGGGGCATAGATTGAGTGGATAGCCGGAGATTTTCTCCCAGGGCGAAAATGACTGTTACGAGGGGGCATAATTTCAAGGTGATTGGAGGAAGGTATAGGGGAGATGTCAGAGGTAGGTTCTTTACACAGACAGTGGTGGGCGTATGGAATGCGCTGCCGGTAGTGGAGTCATTTAAGTGACTCTTGGATAGGCACGTGGATGATAGTATAATGTAGGGTATGCAGCGTCGTTTGATCTTAGTAGGATAATAGGTTGGCACAACATTGGGGGCCGAAGGGCCTGTACTGTGTTGTACTGTTCTATATTCTATGAAGTCTTTCTGGGAGATGTGACAACTAATATGTGCACAACATTTTCCTAGCTGAAAAAGCAACTCTCTTTCAATTGATCCTCATTGCCTGTAAAGTGTTGTGGGCCGTGCTGATATTTTAAATGTCAGAATTAAATGTTAAAATAATTCAAGTCATTTTGTACAATCTCAGCAACAGCTCCATTTCACTCGATCTGAAACAGTTCGAGTGCCACCATGTGGCGCAAACAAACCATTGCTCACCTTAGCTAGAACCTTTAGTGATTTTTCATTGTTTATTGCACTGAGCTAATTCATTCTAGAGTCACAGGGGTTTTAGTTAATTGCGGGATGATTGCAAGGATAAATAAAGAATCTATATTTAATGGGGTTACTGAACACTATGAAAATTTCCAGCTGATCAGAGAGAAAGAGTCAGCTTTGATTTGTAAAGGGAGTAGACCTTGCCTGATGAAGTTGATAGAACCTTTTGAAATGGTGACAATAGTCGTGTGTACTGGAATGTTCATACATGTTATTTCTGTGGACTTTGAGAGGTATTGATGGAGCCTTTATTAAGAGAGAGAGAGTTAAAGTCGATACACATGGAATTCAAGGTATATTATTGTCCTGGACAGGAAATTGGCACTATAGCACTCCCTCAGTTCTGACCTTCTCACTGTTCAGTCCCCCTTCAGTACTGCCCATCCGACACTGCAACGCACCTTTGATATAGTCCCTCCAACACCGCGGCCCTCCCTCAGCACTGTCTCCACCCCCCGCCACCGACAGCGTGGCCCTCCCTCAGCACTGTCCACCCCCTGCCAATGGCGCGGCCCTCCCTCAGCACTGACCGTCCGATGGCGCGGCCCTCCCTCAGCACTGACCGTCCGATGGCGC